CAATCGGCCCGGGGGGGGGGTCGAGAAGCCTTGTGCTTTAACAAGAGTGCCTCCGCCCCGCCACCAGGTCGGGGGCTGAACAGGAGGCCGTTCCCACCTGGGCAAAGCCCACGAAGAAGAGCTGCTCGTTGGTGAGGCCAAGTGCGGGCAGAGGTGGCTCCTCTCCGTTTTTCTTCACCCAGTTCCGATAGGCCTACGGGAAAGAAGAGGGCAGAGTGAGCCATGCCCACTGTGCTCCCGTGCCAGAAGCCGGGCAGGAGCTCCCCACTGGCTGGAGACAGGCCCCCCACGGGGGAGAGGAGAGGCCGTGCCCCCAGAAGTGCCCGGTTGAGGGCTGCCCCCTCCACTCACCCGGTAGGCAGCCTTCAGCCCCCCGTTGTCGGCAATGTTCTCCCCCAGGGTGTGTTTGCCGTTCACAGCCTCCCCGTTGATGGAGTAGTTGCCGTACTGCTCCACCAGGCACTCCGTGTGCTGCTTGAAGGCGTCCACCGAGGAGTTCTTCCACCACGGCCGCAGGTTGCCGTCCTTGTCGTACTCGCGTCCTGCCAGGCCGAGGGAGTAAACACCAACAAGGGCACCCGGACCGCCCCCTCTGGCTTGCCAGGAGAACCAGGCCTGCCAAGGTCGCCTGAAGGGATCTGCCACCCAGATCCTCCTTAGCGGCAGGGTAACAAAGGGTCACCAGCTTTCCTGCAAAGGCGCAACGAGGGCTCACCTTGATCGTCAAAGGCGTGCGTCAGTTCGTGACCCACAACGACTCCAATTCCGCCAAAATTGAGGGCCCTGTAAAAAAACCCAGAGCAACAGCTGTCACAACGCTGCCTGCACGATGCACCTTTCACCCTCTCAAATGCCCTTACATGCGCCTCCCATCTAAATCATTTTCTTTCATTTAGACACGGTTCAGTCCGCCCGTCACCCAGGCCCCAGGAGACGTCGGCTGAGGCGCCAGGATGTCACGGGACGTCCACCCCGATGCCTTTGGTCATCAAAAGGGGCAGCGGGTGCGGTTCCTGGAGGGGAGGGGACACGTCTGTCTTCTTCCCCGGGACCACAATCCTCTGTTGCCCATTGGGGGGCCATGTTAAAGGAGGGACTCCCCTCAGCTGTCCAGGCCCCGCCTCCCCCCACCCCTGGAGCCAAGAGACGCCTTCCTACTTGGGGTAATTCCGGGTATAGAACGGAGCCTGCAGAATTCCCGCCGGGAAGATGACCTCGTTCTTCGTGGGAGAATAATAAGCGTTCACGGTCGGGGGAGTCATGCTCCACCTGGGGAAGACAACAAAGCGAAGGGCAAGAGCAGGAGCAACGCAGACCAGGGGCCAGCCTGCGTGGCTCAGCTCTCCCCATAAGCTCCCTCCTCCCCATTCCCTTCGCCCCTCTGGCTGGGCAGTTCAGAATTGCTCTCTCGCGCCACACACAGACCAGCAACGGCAACTCCGCGGTCCAGGCGTGGACCCCAAAACAGTTGCACCCGTGCCGAGGGGGCAGCAGCAGAGACCCTGCAGGTGTGCAACGTAGCAGCTGGTGCCAGAAGCACCTTCTGGTTCACCTGAGGACCTTGGTCCTGGGAAGGACGCTGACCCTTCCCCCTCGTGGCCTCCTGGAGAGCCAGCCGTGCCGGGCCGGTGGAGGAGCTTCCAGGATCTGGCTGGGGAAGATGGTTCTTGGGCGATTCCTACTCACTGGTCGCGGTTCGGAGGCTTGCGAAGCTGGTCGGCAGCCACTCGGGCAGAGAAGTTGAAGAACTGCATGACGTTCTCGTAGTACAGGTCGGGCACTGGCTCGTACTGCCGAGAGGGAGCCTCATCAGATCCAGCCGCCCGCCTAGTCGGGGTCCAGCCACGCAGCCCCCCCCCCGCCGCATGGCTGGATTAACTTACGTCGTGGAACACCCTGTCCAGCTCTTTGGGATCCAGGATGAACTTGGGGTAGCCGATCATGTCGTAGATGGCGTCGGCCTTCTCCCTGGCCGACCGCCGGGTCTCCTCGTCCATCCACCGAAGGCTGGCCAGGCTCTCCTCCAGGGCCATTTTAATCTCCAGGATCATCTTCTCAGCCTGGCAGGAAGAGCAAGCTCAGGAGGCCCTCCCTCTGGCAGGGGACGCAGCCAGTCCGAGCTCCCCAGGGCAGCTGGAGAAGGACCCCGCAAAGGATGGCAGAGTCCGATCTGCGTTTCTGAAGTCGGACGAGCACGGCTGGTCTAGAAAGGGTGGGGGCGGTTCCCCAGGAAGGAAAGGGGAGGGGTCTACTTGCTCCTCCTGATGGGGAGCCCCGACCTGCTCGAGGGGAAGCCGGTGCCGCTGAATGGAGCCCCAGAGGCTGAGAGCTTGGGGTCCCCGCCCCGCCCCCCTTTCTAAGAGCCCTGCAGCTGCGGGGCTGGGGGAGAGGAGAAGACGTGCTTACGATCGCCTTGCTGTCTTCGGCAAATGTGGCCCTCACAAACATGGCGCCCAAGACAAAGCCCAGGCTGTTGTCCGTGTCGCTGATGCAGTACTTCCAACGCGGTACACAGGTCTGCAGAGGGAGGGGGTCCCGGTCACTGAGATCAGCTCTGCCCTCCAGCTGCCCTCTTGAGCACCAGGAGATGCCTGCTGGCCCTGCCACTAACAGCATGCCACCTAACGTGGGAGGAGCCCCTGTGCCCAGATCTGTTCTTTCCCTGGACCTGCTGCTTTTAATTGAGACAAGGGGGGTCTGGCTGGCTCACCTGCAGCGTTGCCAGGTGGTGCCCGAAGGGTGCCACTGCACCCACCCACCGGGAGAGGAAAAGGTGGGCGTGGCACTGGAGGTGCAAGAGCGGGCAGCAGAGGGCGCTCCAGAGCCACCAGCAGGAGCCATGGGAGGGATGGTCCTTCTGGCGAGCGCCCCCCAGGGACACGCCCTGCGCTCACCTTCTTCGACCCATACATGACTTCCAGGAACTTCTCCTCTGCGTCTTGGAATCGCTGGTCCAGGAAACTCGCCCCTTTCCTTACCAGATGCCAAATCATGTAGTTACGCAACACCCTGGGGCATCGAAAAAGGGCGAATGAGAGAGGCAGGGTCTTCGCCACCCAAGGGCCCCTCGAGCCCCGTGCCTCCCGCCCGGTTCACGTTTCTGGCTCCCAAGAAAGGGGTCCTGCCTGCCCTCACCGCTTGTCCGCATTCAGGATGAGAAGGGAGATGCGCTCGAGGTACTCCTTGGCGTAGACCACCACCGGCTCTGACTCGTTGATCTCCACCGGGTAGAAGATCTCCTTGAGCAACGCCATCCACTCAATGGCCGGAGCCAGGTCCTTTCGGGGCAGAAAAGAGGAGTGGGGAGAGAAGGAGGGAGAGCTCGGATCTTCAGAAGGATGCCCAGCGAAGGAACAGCCACCTCCCTCTTGAAAGCAAGGGCGGCCTTCCTGCCTTTCTTCCACACGCAACTTTGCAGCGAACACCTTCCGGAGGCAACTCTTGCTCCGTCACTGCCCGAAGCGCAGCTTTTATTTCTAAGCGCTTCAGCGGTGGGGGGGCAACCCCCAGGCAGGGCTATCTCAGAACTCGGGTTAGGACCCGGCTGCGCTTCGGGCAGGCCAGGAAGCTGCAGAAGTCCTCCTGGACGGCAGTTATGGAAGGACCGGCCTGTCCCGCTGCCGAGAAAAACCTGTCCATGGGTCCCCCACAGCTGAGGTGGGCTCCAGGGAGTCTGACTTTGCTTTTATGTCTTTTTAAGACTCGTCTTTAGGCAACGTATCCGAGAGAGCTGGGGGCCACCAGCCCCGTTTGCAAGGCTGTTTGGCAAACTTTTCCACCCCAAGGAATGGCGCCGGAGTTCTTCGCACCCTTTCCGAGGGACCCAAGAGCAACTGGGCGCAGGGTTGATGGCGGGTCCCCCCAGAGCCCCAGCCCCCCAGCCTCACCTTGAGCTCCCCGGCAGTTATTTTGTGGTAGATCACTTCCTCATCCCGGCGCTTCTCCTGGGGGGTGGTAATGTTGGCCAAGGTGGTCTCAAAGTCCAGGATTTCCTGCATCTGCTGCCGAGTGGCTGCCTCCTCCCCTCCGCCGACCAGCAGGCCCAGCTGGACCATGAAGTTCAAGTATGCGGCCAGCACCTGCAGGACCGAGGAAAGGGGCGCTGTGTTGGCTCGGCCGAGGAAAGACGCTGCAGGCGGGCAGGAGAAGCCGTGCCCAGCCATCTTGGTGGGACGCCTCAGTCCCGCTCACACCCGGCTGTTCTCACAAAGGCCTTGTAACACGCGCAGCATGAGCGGCTGAGATCCAGCAGCGTCCGAGGATACGCTGAGCAGGAGGCGGCTGTGCCCGCCACAATTCAGAGAGTGGGGGTGTCTTTGAGCCGGGCAAGGAGACGGGCACTCACTTTCTCGTTCTGGGTTTTGTTGAGATAGTAATCCCTGGATGGCAGACCCAGCCCCGACTGGTCGATCTGGAAGAGAGCAGCGAGAGAGGGGTGACCGTGGGCAGCAGGGCAGGGCAGGGCAGGGCAGGCAGGCGGTTTGGGGAGGGCCCCCCACCTGGATGATGTTACTACTGGAATTCTTTGAGTCGGCGCTCACGTAGATGGAGAAGAAGGGGGTGAGGTGGTGGCGGGCGACCAGCTCCAGCAGCGTCTGGTTGAAGCTGTCCGAGGCGTCACTGACGTTCCAGCCTCCGAGCTGGGGGGCAGGGGGAGAGAAAGAAAAGCCCCTCCAGGTTAAGCACGAAGCCAGCGGCTGTCTCCCGAAACACAAGAACGCGGCAAAACGCCACCCAGATGAGCTTTCTCGTCGCCCGCGCCGAAAAATACTAAGGTGTGAGACTTCGCCCCAGAATGACTGGAAACTTCCCACAGAGCCTCCATTGCCGAGTTATTCTTGACTTGGCAGACGCACGTCTGAGTTGGCAGTGGCTTTTTGGCTATGCTTCCCAACGCTCCGAACCCGACCAGCCAGGGCCGGCTGAGAGTTCTGGGAGCTGTAGTCCAAGGCATCCCAACATGAGGTGGAGGAACCCGCTGCTTCTGCCCCCGCGAGGCCTCCATTCTGCGGGCCAAGCGAGACCTTTGCTCCGAGCCCCCCGGTCCCGCTACCTTCTGGACCTGATCCACCAGCGGCTTGGCCTGCAGCTCCTCGATTCTGCTCTCGTTCATGCAGGACCGGTAATAGCGCTGCACTTTCCGTTCGGCCTCACTCAGTGCCGGGGCCGTGGTGTTCTCTGCCGAGAGGAAACACCCGGTGACCCCTTTCCAGCCTGCCACAGCCAGCTGGGCCCCCTCCTGCCCCCCGGGTCCTTCCCCACAGCACCGACTGTGACCCAGCAGGGCTCCTTCCAGCCCCCTTTCCACCCCACCCTCCCAACATCTGGGATCTGTTTGAGGCTCAGCTGGAGAGAAACCAGAATCTTCCCCTCATTCACGGGGAGGCCTCTCTCGAGGGGCTTCTCCCCCCACAGAGCTTGGGAGGAGACCCTGCAGAGCCCCCGCCCCGGCTTTGAAAGCTTTGCTATGGATTATTCATGGAGGGGAGGAGAAGGCGCTCCCGTTGGAGGAGCAAACTGCCAAAGAGAAACATCTGGCTGGGGAAACAGGGAAAAACAGGGTGGGGGGGACCAGCTTTTCAGAGGCCCAGACAGACCAACAGGCCAGAAGCCGGTTTGGGCTGGGAACAGGAAGAGAAGTGAAAAGCTGCGGAAAGGCAGGGAGGACCCCTCCCAGTTCTACCAGGGTCCCTGGCCTTCTCAAGTGCTGCGCTCCAAGGACCCACAAAGATGGGGAGCATGAAACTCTCCCCCAACCTCCAAGGAGGGGTGGGTCTGACACACCCCTCACCCCTGCCCCCTTCAGCCCAAGGCTGGAGGCTCTGCCTCCTTCACTCCCCCAAAGGCTGGAGGCCCCCAGAGAGCAGGGCGAGGAAAAGCAGCAGTGTCCCCTTGCGAGCCCCGCTGCAGGAAGAGGGGACCGTCCCCAGCCGAGGTCCACCCACCCAGGAGGATCTTGAGGGCCGCCTGGTTGTGCTCCCAAAGCTTGTTGAAGGTCCCCCAGCGGGAGTGGCCATCTGGGATGGGGTTGCTTTTGATCCAGCCACCGCAGGCGTAGCTGAAGAAGTCTTTGCAGGGGTCCACAGTCCGGTCCAGCGAGCTCAGGATGGAGCTGGACACCGAGATGCAGGCTTCGGTCAGACAGGGCCCTGAGAGGAGGAAGAGGGGACCGGCGGTCAAAGCAGGGCGGAGGCGGGGGAAGGCCTGCCAGGAGGGGGACGGCACATGGCTGGCCGGGGGCAGCCAAGGCGGACAGCCCAGCGGACTCACGCGTTTGGTACTGGAAGAGCAGGACGGATAGACAGGCCAGGAGGCCGAGGAAGAGAACCACCACCAGGGCCAGGAGACGCTTCTCAACCTGGGTCCGCTGCGCCCAGCAGCCCTTGCTACCTCCTGGCCCACGGAAGTTCACCTGGGGGAGAAGAAAGGAGAAGACGTCAAGGGGGGGAGTTCAAGGCCCTTAAGGAGGTGGGCTTGCGACCCAGGAAGCCCTCTGCCAGAAGGGGGTCCGCTGCCCTCCCTCCTAAACTGCCAACAGCCTGTTCTCACCTGGACCCCGTTGGGGTAGATCTCTCCCTCCAGGGAGTCCACCAGCTCCTCTTCGTCCAGGGTGGCTCGCTTGTACGTGGACATCTGACAAGGGCAGAAGAAGGAAGTCAGCACCTCCATGTCCCCGTCCCCCAGATCCTGCTCTTGCGCCCCACCTGGGCCCACAGGTCCTCTTGGGGTGGAACACATACCGCCGGGCTGTTGGATGGAGGCCACAGCCAGAGAGCCAAAAGCCACCAGTTCACCTGCGGCAGAGGACAGGTGGGCCCGCAGCCTCCTCCTGGGAAGCCAGGGGAGAGGGGGGAAGCCCCGGGCAACGTGTGGGGATCTGTTCCCGGGTTGCAAGGTCTTCCCACAGCTCTGCGATTAAGACTGTTAGGAGCAATATACCTCGAAACACTTAAGCCCAACTGCAAACCAGCCCGCCCCTCCCGTCAAAGGGGGGTATGTACTTTCTTCCTCGCCTTAGGTCCCCTCCGCAGCACACATGGCCAACACACCCGGGACCTCCCTCCCCCTGGTTGCTGGAGAGGGATCGACTTTCCGCAAAGGAAGGGCTGGCACGGGAGCCCCAAAACAGGAAGCCCATTGAGGCAGGCGGATACCCGGGGTTTGTGAAGCCACATTCCTCTCTGGACATGCTCTTCCTGGCAAGCCTGGCCCACAGTCGCTCCTCGGCTCCTGCCTGCCCTCCTCCCCTCTGCAGTCAGAGCAAGGCTGGCCCTGCCTGCCCGCTCGCCCACTGCAGATGCCCGTCGCCCAGAGACGGAGGCACAGCCAGACCTCTCAGTGCCAATCCGAGGGGCAAATGGCAGCCCCAACCCTTGAGCTGAATCAGAGGCTCCGCCGTGGTGGGGGCCTCAGTTGCCCAAGGCCAGGCCAGCCTCGACCCAGCGCTGCTCCCACCCCACTGGCCCCCAGCCCCGCAGCCC